ATGGGATTTCTTAGCCCCATAGGGAGAAAGCATGATTCCTTCTTACAATATGGATGGATGTACACCACTTCAAAAATTCCTTGTGATTATGCATCACATTTGCTATATTTGCTTATATAACCTCACGTTAAGTGTTTTAATGAACCATGCTGTAGGCTTACAGAAGTACTCTGCGAATGACTACCAGCCTGCAGATTGGGTAAAAGAATGTCACACGTTTATAAATCCCTAAATGCATAACGAAGCAATCAACAGACACATTCAAAACCAGACACTTAAAATCCATCACGTTATCTCAGGCTTGCCAGTGACTATGAGGCAGAACAACAAAGAGAGTGATCATCGTAATAACCAGCAAATTTATCAAGATGAAAAGCAGATGATCAGTCAATTGAAATCAGCTGCTGTGACACCCGACACTGCACAAAGGAGTATGTCCACTGCACCTGCTGCATGCAGAGAATGGTAGGGGCTACTGGTTGGTGAAGGTTTGGAATATATCAAGGTCCAAGTAAAAAAATTACTTCATATGGCAATTACTTTAGTGCACATTGGTCAGCCTCCTTCATCCAAAATAGGCAAGGAAAAAATGTCAGCTAAGAATAAAAAAGGAAAGATAGGGCTACTTTCTAACAATGTTTCTTTCATGTAATATTTAGCTACATGTAAAGAAAAAGAGACTCTATACTCAGATAACACCCTTTTCTTCTGCTATTAAGGAAAAGCCTAAAAGCCAACTTGTTCCCTGTTAGCTGACCCAATGAGCTCAGTAGTGTTTCACTGAACATACTGTGGGGCTTTTCCAAGCTTTGAGTGAGTGCATTCTATGCTGACAAACATGCTTGATACAGACACAGGATCAAGCCTAATCTTCATCCTTAGAATGCTCTGTCTACAGCTGAACCTGTGGTGTTAACTCATAACCCTTCAAGCTTCTGATTACTTGTGTCTCTGAATTACTGTTACTTGCACACATATAAGTAATTTTCACTTTTCTTTTACAGAATATTTTCATATTGAAACATACCAAAAAAAAAAGGTACAGACACTCAGGTGTCTGGGATTATATATAATGCTCACTAGGTTTTACATTTTATTTACATTATCTCAGTCTGAATAGAATGTCTTCTATAATTGCTCTTTCAGGTAACATTGGTTTTGCTTATTCACCAAAACCTGTAAATACAGTAAAACATAACTGTCACGTGTATTAGAGTATACACAATGAAATATAAATTTAAAATAAACATTAATTTTATTTTTTCAGAGGAGTAAAAAACAGAATTAAACCTGGTAAACACCAGAACTAATGAGTAAAAAATAAATTTCCACCATTACTACTGCAGATCCAGCTCCACTGGAAACCACAGTGACAGAGGTACTAGACCAGACCAAGCACTGGCACCCCCCAGCTTCCTAACTAAAACATTAAAACTTGCTTCAAAAAAGATTAGGTGAAGTGTTGTTTAGGTTTGGCTGGTTTTGTTATGTTTCAAACAACCCAGCTCCTGATTCATTATCTGCTATGCTACTGCTACTACCTGAGTGCTACACTGGCCAAGTTTGGTTATTCAAACGTTGTCCCTGCAGGGTTTTTTTCTATGTATTTGTTTGTATTTTTCAAGACAGTTCAAGTTCATCTGGAACATCTTCGAGATTAATGTCACCTTGCCTGTGGCTACATTTCTTGCTGAATCTGCTCTCTTCCAATCATCCCTTCAGGACTTACAAAAAACCCTGCCAAAATCCCCAAATAAAATCAAGAAAAATAATTGAGCTCTAGGACAATATTTTCTTACACTTGTGGTTTTAGGAATTTTAGGCATAACTTAACTCAAATGCTCCACTACAGTAGGAAAATAGGTAAAAGTCTGTCATTTATTTATGTCAACTTCTTCCCAGTTAAGTTCTAGTTCCAGTTTTGATGCTCAAAAATCACTCTTACTTTAGCTTAATGAAGCTTAAAAACAAATATTTGCTGATAATTGGAGAAGGGTCACTTATACTGTTCAGCAGTGTTTGGCATGAGCAAACTGAAATCTCAAATGTCTTTGCTGAGCAAGAAGTTCAATCAACTCTCCTCCTCAGTAAGGATTTATCAAATTAATTCAAAAATTATGATGCATAACCTAATCAAAATTTAATTTAAATTTCCTCAGAGGTAAAGTAATAATATTACAGTGGTTGATTGATGAAATATACTGTGCTTTAATCTAGGAAATTCCTAATTGTCTTTAGTGCTAAAATAAGTATCTCCATCAGGAATCAATCTTGTAGACAGATTTCTTGAAATACAACTGCAATTACAATTATATAATATTGCTGTCATCATTAACTGAATATATTTTAACAGCCCCACCAAAATATTTAATCATAAAAATCATGGTAGACCTCATAGGCACACCAAACCTATCACAGTCCTCAGTGAGGCTGATGAGCCCAAGAAGCCTGTGCCTCTGTTACAGTGCACTGCACTAGCCCAATGCAGCTCATCACAGCTAGTTTGTGTACCTCTGTACAGCATTGTAATCACATCCTTAGAGAAACAAAGGCAATTTAGGAAAAAAAAGAATAGCACAGAGGCTGCACAGCATCTGCTAATACTAGTGCGTGTTCTGTGTGAACCATCTAACACTTGTAAGACAACAAACATGCACATAATGGAATATTCAACAGTTTACAGCAGAGGAACACAAATCTATGCTATTAAGCCTCCAACACACACCACTGAGTAAAATGAGATACCTGTATCCTGAGAGAACTTCACTTTGTGCTGGCTTCAGAAAATAAGCCTTCTTCTCATTTATTGCAAAATAGAAGAGATTTGATCATGGCTATACAAAGTTCATAGCTTCTTCATACATAATCATCCTTCAGTAACCATAAAACTTAGGCTTTTCTAATTCTATAGCACCATAAAAACAAGGACCCCTGTGTGCATGCATGTACACACACCAGCATCATGTATATCTGCTTCACACAATCACTACTTGTTTTAATGATACAGAAACATTTTCCCCAAACTAAACATCAGAAAATGCCTGGCTTTAGAACAATTAAATCTTCCATTCTATTTTGAAAAGTGGAAATAAGTTATACAATATCTGGTGAAATATCACATACCTAGTCACAGTTTGGCAATAAACTTTTTCAAGTATTTTGGAGATAAAAATGAAAATCCATCCTTAAGAAAATCTTCACCCACTGGGATCAGATTTATATGACATATTGTATGCTCACTTAATAATTTCCAAGAACCCCTTGTAAAACCAGTATATAATGAAATACATGAAATATATGAATATACTTTTATAGCCTACCTATAACCTTTTAAAGAACAAATTTACATCAGATCTTAAGAATTAAGTTCTAATGTCAAAGCCCTTTAAAAGAATTACTTGTCTTCAAGACATAGGAAAACAGGTATGCTGTTGTTTCATAGAAAGAGAAACAGACCCTAAAGCCACACAATGTTATATTGAGGGATATATTTAGTGCTTGCTGGAAGCATCCTAACTGCTATTGTCATGTATCAATATAGCTGACACTCAATTCTTTATTGTTTTTCCAGAGTTTTCCTCAACAATGACTCCTTTATACGACATAAACTACAGCTATTTTTAGTGATTGTCAGATTTGAAGACTATAAATCTCTGTAGTTACTGCACCTTCCTCTTCTTGCATCTAATCTCTCAATTAAAACAAATCTGTCCCCAAAGAACTTCGAAGAAGAGGCTGAATTAACAAACTATTTAAGTGAACCAGAAGCAAGGCAATCCCTTATGAATACAGTCTGCAATTAGCCAAAATGCTCCATTTTGCTGTTCACAACGAGGCTGAGGCTCAATAAAAATTAAACACTGATGCAGGCAAAGCATTCCCATGGGGCTCACATATATTAATACATTACCACTCAACAGTTGCTTTATGTCCAAGAAACTGGGACATAGCTTGAAACTGGCTGGCTGCCTGTTTGATAAAATGGAAAGCTATTGGTGATAAGTATTTTCTCTTATTTTCATATCCCAAGGGCCATAAACAGGCTCAGTAAGTATTTAAATGCAGTTCCTAACAGTCACAAACTCATAATGGTGCCAAACAGATATGACTCAGGTTCTGACTGATCAGAGAATAACAGCTCATAGATTCTGCTTAGAGTCACAGGTGTGCCTTTGGATCACCCCAATCCCTAGCACGGCGTTTCCTAAAACCTCTAAGTACCTTAAAACCAATTCAGTTCTTAGCTTGATTAGGATGCAGGCAGCAGTCCACACTTCAGTGATGACCTTTTTAAGCAAAAATGTAGAATAATTTAGGTGGCTCTATTACTACTCTGCAGAACACAATGTACAGAAACTTGAACGTACAGAATAAAATAGTTTAGAACTATGATTATTTTTACTTTAATAGGACAGAGTCAGGAGAACAAAGATTGTTTATTAAAATGTTTTTTGAAGCCACAGATAAGTAATCCACAAATTATCAGCTCCTTGAAATCCCTGAGAAACTGAGGCACTCAGCACCTCACTTGTGTCAAGTTAAAATACATACTACATCAACTTTTCTATTCTATCAACTAGAAACCTTAAACATCAAACATGTAACTAATAAAAATGTTTAGTTTATCAAACAGTAAGTCACTTTTCAAAAAAAGGGTATTTTTAGAGCCTGTACTACAACAGTATCAGCAGCTTTATAGGACTATAAAAAAGAACCTCAAGCTGCAACTGCAAAACTATTCACCACCTTCAAAAGGCTTGTTCTGGAATGAATGGGCTGATGTTCTGAAGTTCAGTTCTTATCCAGACATCCTCTATTATGTCAACCTTTTATAATTTGTCTTACTCTGTCCTTACAAAGTCATCATGACTTTCACTTCTCTGTAGAATCCAGCCTTTCATCAACTGAGTGTGAGGATCAAAGAGAAAATAAATGCACGTCACCACTGGGTGGACTTAATTCTCACGAACTTCACAAATCCTAGGTTAGTTCATGCTCACCTTTCGCAGGAGGAAGCAAATCCGCTCAATATTTCTCAGCCGCTCTCTCTGTCAAGAAAAAGGGGGGAAAAGGCAGGAGATTAGCTGGTGTTACAAATTAAGACAATATATTACAATTACAAGGGTGAATGTTTTAATTAATGGCTGCAGTGAAGCAATATATGTTGTTAATCTGAAATGACAGCATTCACTTCCTACCTACTGCTAGCAAGCTAAGTGATTTACACATTTCAAAGTCCCAGTAAGTTATTTTTTCATCTGTTACTGGGTGTAACAATATCAGCTGGGGATTCCAGTCTGTTAGCCTCGAGCCAGAGGCTGCAAATGTTTTTTAAGTCAGTCTTTGTGCAAGACTTGGTCTTGCATCTTAAGGTCCCCCACATCTGGCTTCAATATAATTCTGAATGGGAAAAACAACTATAACATTTGTATGGCAGCTCTTCCTCTATCACCAAGATGGTGCCTCAACATGTGATATTAGTATGTAACCCATTAGTGAAAAATATTTGAACTGTCCTAGAAATGCCACTTTAAACGACATGCATTCATAAATACTGAAAATCACTGCAATTAAGCACTGTGACTCAAAAGATGCTTTAAGCTCAACTCACAGAAAGAAAACAAATCAAAGACAGGGTTTCTTTTAAATGGCTCATAATGAGAAACTAACCAGTACAATCAAATTTCACTGCATAACCCTATCATTGAAGTTATTGTGGAACACTCTACTGTTGGTTACACTGCAGAAGGCAGAGTGGTTTCATTGTCCTCAGAAGACTATCTGATAATATTTTCACTTAGACATGGGAAAAATATTCCAAACAATTAAGTTTTTTGTACTATACCAATGTAAGAAGCCAACTCTCCCTAAGCTTTCTGCTTTTCAAATGTTTTAAATTTGCCACAAGTTTGAGTTTTATTTCTATTCTCCAAAGAAATGCCTCTTTTGCTTTTCTGTCCCCAAGTTTAAGCCATTTTTTTAAAAAGTATCATTTTGGAAAGACAATGTGGCAGTGGCAACTTGATAGGCACCAGAAAAATACCGTGCCTCTTTTTGGTGTCTCTGAGCTGAAAGAGATTCAGAAATGTTAGACTCACAGTTGCAAACATGAGAATGGATGTGTGTGGACATGCCTGTGAAGCTGCAGAAAGCTCTCTTGCCTTTAGAAGGAGGTAAGTGGAGAGAGATAGACCTCTCAATTCCCTTTAAATAGATTCCTAACTACAGCTGGCCTTGGAGAAGTAGGAAGTCTGTCTCTGAACTATAGGTAACAGAGGGCAAACCAGGAAATTTGAATTAAATTTTCAGTACTGCCCTTCTTTTTGTCTCTGATTTCTCTTTAATTCAGCCCCCTCTTGTCAAAAAGGCTCTACCCTCTGTCATGAAAACATTGTGGAAGATACATCGGTAAACATCAGACACTCTTACAGTGCAATAAAGAAAACTACCCCACTAAATAAAAGGGATAAGGGCACAAGCAACTATGCAGAGGGAAAAAGAAAAACGCACTTGAACAAATGTATAAGAAATACCTGGTACAAATAAATACACATTTCTTGTGTGCAGTTCCCAAGATGGGAAGTAAAAACAGATAAAGTGAATTCAAAATCCAGTAAATTCAAAACCAGTTTATATCCACTGAAGTCCTCTATAGGATTTCTTCACATAATTTCTTTCTTCTATTTTCATGCTTTGATTATGTGCTAGTGAACCATAAAAAAAACCTTCTTATTCTAAGATTCACGTAAAATTTATGCTTAAAATCATCAGTGGTCTAAGCCGTACCACAAATCCTCTGCTGAGTTATGAAACAGGGTTAAATGGCAAAGTACTGAATCTGGTTATCATTTGCAGGCAATTCAATAACTTGATACTCTGTAGAGATCAAATACAGCACCTGTCGTAGTCATTGTAATTCCCAGTGAGATGATGGGGAGCCAAGTTCTGCTCTCAGTTCTGGTAGTACAGATTGACACATGTTTAGCTGTAGTCAGCTAAATCACCCTAGATTACAGCTTTAATTAGCAGGGGAATTTTGAAATACTTAAATCTAGGCTGCATTTTTGGTTCATTAGTTAAAAGTGAGTTTACAGTCCCAGGGTGATATTTAAACTTTTCCATAGCAGAAGCAGCAGAATATGACATTTACTCTTAAAGCATGGGAGCACTTAGAGCCCTGCCATTGGAGAGGGAGGTCCACGAACATGCCTCTTACCAAATCCACTCAAGCTTTTGGATCACTGATACAAGCAGTATGGGAAAATGTGGTCATCCCATGCTTGAACACAGAGAAGGCAAATTATTTCAAAAAGGAAAACTTGTGCCATGGCATGAAAAGGTAAAAAAGAAAGCATTAGCATCACATCAGCTTTTGAATTTCCAAATTATTTTCCTGCCTCCCTCAGCAAAAAGGAAGGCTATTAGCATAAAAAGTAACCATCTGGCTTCCCAAGACTGGCCCAGTAAATCAATTTTCCAAACCACACTTGACTTCACAGGAGACTCTATATTAATTTCACTCAGACTTCACTGACAGCTCAGTGCATCCCCCTTTCTTGAGCAGGTACTGTTTAGCAAACCACTGGTTGTACTCACTGCGTGGGCTGGGTTGCACTGATCGATTGGGCTCTTGAAGTCTGTCCGAAGTTCATCAAAGGCAATTATCTGAAAAACATTTTTTTTTTCAAATATTGTAATGAATGCTCACTCAAACACTTATTTTCCTTTAGAGACTAGGTAGATGCATTGCCTCCCTTCCTCGCTTTCCGGAGAAAACAGCTTCTCCAACACACTCCCTCCAGAACTAAGTAGCTAAAACAAAACATGGGATACTCCTACATATGAAACCTAGAGCTCATTAAACTGTCACTCTGTAGAATCATATCTACAGCCTTTTCAGCATTGTTACTTTTCATATTTCTTCCCTCATATCAGCCAGAATTCTTTTCTCAAATTTCCACATGGCATAAAACTATTTCACAAATACATCTCCAAATTCGAAGGAGAAAGTCATTAGCTACCCAAAAAAACCAGAGGTGGATCAGCTATGCTGCTCCAGGTTTAATACATAAACAGTCCATTTTTATTAGTTATTAAACCTACTTCAGATATTAAGTCTGAATTAGTATCAGCTTTACTGTTTTGAAGCTGCTATACATTAACAAACAAATTCCTCAAATGGTAAACCATTCTAGAGCAAACATGTGCTTCCTAAATTCTGGCACGTTTTAGAATTTTACTTCAGACCTCATTAACGGAGAGATGTTTTTTGCTCAAGTCCTTCAGTTTCCTCCATTAACAGATGGATTAAGACACACTTGCAATTACTGGTCCTTTTAAAGCAGGGTAGATAAAAGTGCCTATAAAAATAACAATATTTGAAAGTGTTTTCTTGGAAAGAAAACAGCTGTAGTAATCCTCATCATATTCCATTCACAGATCTCAAATCACATTCTTAACTTTATGTTTGTATTCTAGTGATACCTTTTCTTCTGTTTCTTTCTTGCTTCACCCGAGGAAGGAAAGCTCACTATGACAGGCACCACATAAACAGATGTTAAAACAATGATTCCTTTTTAGATAATTTACAACCCAAAGTCTCTGTGCTCAATAAAAAGATGATGTAAGTATAAGGCAGCAGTTGGGTAATTAGTATATGAGTGCAACAGCCATTCTACGACATGCTATAGCAGCCTGGGCCTAACTGTTCAAAAAAGAGCCAACTGGGTGTCAACACAGACCTGCTGCATAGGTAAAACACATTCATTTTACAGATATGGAATGAAGGAGCAGAAATCCTAAAAATGGCCTATCCATGAATTATATAACAATCTGGCTAGAGGCTTGAGAATAAAACCTAGAAGCTACAACCCACAAATTTAAGCACTACTCCACATCCCACTCTAATGCTGCATTCATCACACCAAAGCACATTTAAAAATCAAAAGTGTGGCATTTACAAGAGCACTCTACAGAATTCAATTTATTCAACTATGACAAGTCAAAGTGGCAGAATAAACCACAAAGGGAACTATAAAACATGATTATAAGTGAAACATTTCTCCCCATGGATGCAGTAGCTCTACAAGTTAGGAATTAGATCGGCAATGGTAAAAGAGCAAATAACAGAAACTGTTAGAGGCTTGGAGTGCATTTGTGAAGGATAAGGCTCACGACACCTCTATATTAATACTTCTTGAACAGGTCTTCATATTCTTAAGCTGGACCAACTGCTAAGAGGGTTAGAACCATGCAAGTCAGACACACATGTAATTGGGTACCTCTTTGTAACTGGATATCAATATCAGCACTGACAGCACTGACAGAAAGGGGGAAGGATGGCCCTGTAACAGGTAAGACAGCTGTCTCTCATAGCTATACCACTGATTTACTTTAGGATGCCCTTAAATTCTCTTTACCTCACTGCACTGGTACTTACAGATGTAACTTTAAGAAAGAAAACTGTTATGAGCTTTGAGTGACAGCTATTTTTATTAATGTACAGTGGTTACAGGTTTTTTTCCACTGTAAATGTAGCGATGAGTCTTCTTTCTGGTAGTCAGTAAGAGCAGTTTATCATGAAATGTCAGCCAGTACAAGATCCAACTCATGCTGTGAGGAAAGACTGTCTGAGACAGCATTATGGGGAACCTGAATACTGAAATCATAAGATAGACTCCTTCCAAGAAGTTCAGGAAAGCCTCACTTGGCTGCTCTGAAAGACAAAGCTGTTAAGGCAGGGCTCTGTTGAGCTAGCTTTAACTAATGCAGGCAAGTCTTGAAGAAATCCTAAATGACAGTTTGGAAAAGAGGTTAGCCCCAAATATACTACACATTTAGATCTCCTATTTTTTTCTTTCTCTGTTTATTTATTTTATTTATTTATTTATTTTACCAACATTCCCAACTCTCTAGCCCAAATCCTACTCTTTACTTGCTGGCACTCAATTTATGTTATGTTTGCATATATCTAAGTGCCTTGACACAGATCTGATAGGTATTAATCACATTGCTTTCATGGAACCAATAAGTGTAAATACAATAATCCCATAATCTTTTGAGATGTCTGCAAATTATGACAATGTTAAGAGACAGTCCTGCTACACCCAAGAGAGGCTGAGGTCTGGTATCAAGCACATATGATTTGAAGAAAGTTTCTTCAATAAAAGTTTTGGTGTCTCTCTGGAAAGTAGCTGACAAAAAAAGATTCTCCTCGGTTCTTATCATTTTACTTCAAAGAAGTTCCATAAGAGGTCTTAAGTTGTTAAATCTCCAGAAATGGAAATTTAGCAATGACATTATTTTAAATTATGAACAAACACATTCCTATTTCTTATTTCTCAGTTAGAGTGAAAAGCTTGAAAGTGTAACATTAGGCAGTCTCATAATTAGAGGGAATGTAAACTCCCAAAGTGTTTTGGGGGCACGTTTTCTCCCGGTTTTTTGGTTGGTTGGTTGGGTTTTTGGTTTTGTGTTGTTTTGTTTTGGTTTAAATCTCACAGTGTTGGGTGTCCTAATTCTAAAACCACAACTGAGAAACAATGGAAACAGAGCTGTAGCTTCTTATGATTTCTGGTTGCTCACAACACATTTGGTATCTGTGCAACAAATTATATCGCATTACTGAAAATATGGCTGGGCTGGGCTGTACTGCTGTGGGGTTTACACAATTAATTAGGAAACATCTTCCTCTTTCAATTATCACTCATCTTCTGTAGCAGTTCAATGCCCTAGGACATTGTGTGGCTGGAGGTGCCATTTTTCCATCCAAAAATAACAAACTACTTGCCTCCATTAAGTGTTGCACAATGCTTTCACGGGAGGTTCTGACCACAGACTAGAGAAACGAGCTGCTGCCTGTTGACATTTTAGCTGGATGCAGTACAGCTACTGCTTCCCACATATCAACCGCCCAGAGCTGCTGAATGCTCTGGGACAGCAGCTGGATATGCTCCGGGGCTGTTTCACCTCAGAAACCACCACTCTGCTCTTTACAGAGCAGTTCATTTCCAGGCAAACAGTGCAATAGATCCCAGTCAGGGCACTTCACCACACAAATTGTCATGATTTCACCTTTGTAAATGAATGTATTTCATAAAGTGTTCAATATCTTTTCAGTTATCCAATCTAATTTGATCCAGGGTGACAATTAAGACTACAAAATATACACACAGAGGGACATCAGTAACCCCATCTCTCGAAAGGCCACACTATAAGCAGACTGTTCCAAAGAAAAATGACCAACCTCTAGTCATAAAGCTGAACAAATAGCTAAGCACTCAGCATTTTGGAAACATGTGCCAGGGACTGATCTTACACAGAGGAGAAATTTATTTCTATTAGTAAACATTAATGTTATACATTGGCTTCATAGACAGAGAATAAGGACCATCTGATATTTATTTAGAAACTCAAAGGAAAAAAACCTAAACCACCAAGTTATCTGTTTACTTGCAAAGCTATATCAGGGGGGGAAAAAAAGTGCATCACGTTTAGCAATAATTTTTAAAATTACTGCAGAAACAGGCTGGGGTTGAATGGACAATGGATATTGCACTACCTTCTGCCTTGAGGAATTTTCCCTGTGAATCCACACTGCAAATCATTGCAGGAAGTTTGTTCTGCCACTGCCCTAGCTATGCTTTTTCCTGTTCATAGAAGTGTATTAGAAGTGTACTTGTGGTTGTTTTCCACCTAATAAAATTAAAGGTCTGTAAAAATACTGGTTGCAGTCTCTGATTCACACCATCTGCAAACCTCAAAACTCCAAGTGTAAGTCAGCAAGGAGTGTGCCCCAGTTTGAACACATACTGAATCAACGAGATTGTGATGACAATATGTTTCAACTGCAATGATATTTATAAAATTTGTTTTCATTACCCGCACTCTCTGTGCTTATCTTTCCAGACTGCAACAGCTTTGAATAATGAAGTATTCACATAAGATTGAACCTGAATTTTGTTTTCTTCCTATGCTTATGTACCAATCAAATTGAAAACTTCACTTAATGCTAGAAACAAGCTATGACATCTCATTTTTAGGGAAGATACTTTTTTTTAATCACTGAGCTCTTACAGAAACATATTTTAATTGAGACTCTGATGTTTTAGGGTGGCAGTGAAGTTGGTGTGGGTGTGAAACCAGTGACAGCAAAGAAGTTGGATATTATTGCTTCTTGGCATCTCAGAAAACTTAAGATAAAACAGAACTTGATGACAACCACACTAACCACAGACCAGAACAGTAACACTTAACATATGTTTCCTTGCCACCACCCCGTCAATGCACCACAATCCCATCTTGAAGGAACTGTCTTTAATGGTTCATTTAAACAATTTGTCTCCCCCTCCACTCTCAGATGCAGCTTTCACAGTGCCCATACTGGCAGTTCATAGGCTGTCTGCAAGTCAGCACATAGACAGAAGGTGGACAGGTTTAGGAGCAGGCTGTCCTCCTAAACTTCGTGCCAGCCTATCAACTGCTCCATAGACATATTTACTATGTTGGAGAAATCATGTCTGAACCATGAATTGAACCATGTTGATGCAGTCTGGGTGAGTTATTTTGCTGGATTTTGTTGAGTAGAAGCAACAACTGACAAAACATGTGAGAGATTCAATCAGGTGTGAATGAAAAAGTGCCTGAAATGGAAGATAAGTCACTGC